ACCCTTGAAAGGAGTACTAGTGTTTCGAAGATCTAGCAAGTAGGAGCGGAAATTCTTGCCCATTAAGGAACAGGGGTGCCTGCCTTCAGCATGAAATGGGATCTCTGAGGAGATAAAGGAACAATATCTAGTTATTTTTCCAAGTTAGAAATAGGTCTAATGAAATAAGTGATATGAGCTGGATGTAAATCCCATCTTTAAAAAAAAAAAAAGAATATTTAAAAAAAATAGACAAATCTGTCTCAAAATAAAAAATACAAAGGGCTGGGGATATAGCTCAGTGGTAAAGCACCTCTGGATTCAATCCTTAAAAAATTTACATATATGACAAGTGGCCATAGAATGGGAAAAAATATTCAAGAATCATTCTCCTTGGGTTTACTGAAAAAATAGATGTCACTAGTCCTTTGTGGAAAAACAAATTATCATCTTCCAGTTCAGGAAACTAAAGGTCTCAAGAATCTTAAAAGACAAACAAAAAACCCTAGCCTTTTTGGAGAAGAACTAACCTGCCTACATAATTTCCTTATGTAAAAGATTAAGTGGTACTTTCTAAACTCCAGGAAATTCCCACTAGTCGAGATATACAAAAAGGACAAATCCTAACATATAAAATGGGTTCATTACTCTGTTCCCTAGATGGCTTTTTAGGCTCTAGAATGGAGTCTGATAGCTAGTGTCCTTACCAGAAGCACGGATAGCATCCAGAGCTTTCATCCTATACAGATAGTTGTAGCAACCTGTTGAAACAAAGAGTAGTCTCAGACATAATCCTCAAACTCCAGTAAACTAATAAACTGTCTTTCTGCATCTGACACATAGCCAACAACTGGAATAACTGAGGTTTTGTTAGCAGCTATTTACAACAAGTGTAAAGGAATTCTGAACCTGTGGGACTCCTCACTGAAGTGCTCTCCAAGAGCTTGCAACATACTTTGACTTCCCTGAGTTTCCAGTTGTAGCAGTCTTGCATCATCATCTGCAAGGAGCTGAGGTTCATACTTGATATCCTGAACCCTGGATAGTCGAATATCAATCTCCTCTTTCAAGTCCTGAATGTGCAGAGAAGAGAATAGAGAATCACTTACCTTGTACTCTGATTCCCACTAATCTGGAAAAGGGTCAGAGCCTGTGAACAACTAAGATGAAGTAGTGGAAGTGCTCAGATAGTTACCGAAATTGCCAGATATAAGATGTAAGATTCTGGGAAAGAATGGGATTCTCTAATAACCTCTCCAAACTGTACATATCTAAGCTAGATATTTTATTTTATTTTTTTTTAGAGAGAGAGAGAATTTTTAATATTTATTTTTTAGTTTTCGGCAGACACAACATCTTTGATTGTATGTGGTGCTGAGGATAGAACCCAGGCCACATGCATGCCAGGCGAGTGCGCTACGGCTTGAGACACATCCCCAGCCCTAAGCTAGATATTTTAATTTGCCAGAATTTCTTCACGCTCTACAGCATTATTCCAGATTTTACACTGGGGTCTAAGAATCTTGGTAGGTATTATAAAGACCTTCCTAAATTGGGACAAAGTGGACAACTGGAAGTCATAATCTATTCTAGAAATCCAAGGAGAAGACCTGCATATAATCTATAAACATCTAGGGACTGTCCAACCTGGTGGACCACAGGACTTCTAGAAATCCATGTTAAAACAAAAACATTAAAAAAAAAAAGTTCATTTTTGCCACATGGGGATTGAACCTAGCTCTTCCACAAGGCTACGCTCCCAGTCCTTTTTATTTTTGAGATAGACCCTATTGCTCAGGCTGGCTTTGAACTACTAATCCTCTCTCAGCTTCCCGAATAGCTGGTGTTACAGGTGTGTGCCACTATACCCAGTTTAATTGCTAAAATTGGTAATTCATGCCAGGCATAGTGGCACACATCTGTAACTCCTGTTATTTGGGAGGCTCAGGCAGGAGGATTTCAAGATCAAGCCTGAGCAATTTAGTGAGACACTGCCTCAAAAACAAAATGAAAAGGGCCGGGAGTGTAGCTTAGTGGTAGAGCACTATTCTATTATGTTGGAGGCTCTGGGTCCGATTCTCAGTACTGGAGGAAAAAAATTGATAATTAACATCCATGCTACAAAAATTTAAAAGGTACTATTATTGTGCTGCCCTTTCAAGATAGAAGCAAGCACTATCATCAGTTCCACATCCATCTCACTTAAGAGAGTTGCCAACCCCCCGAGGAAATAATTTTTTTTTTTTTGGTGTGCTGGGGGATTGAACCCAGGGCCTTGTGCATTTGAGGCAAGCACTCTACTGAATGAAATATATCTGCAGCCCCCTTGTTTTCCTTTTGTACTGGGAACTGGACTCAGAGGTGCATTATCATTAAGCCACATTTCCAAATCTTTTTTTTTGAGACAGTGCTTTGCTAAAATGCTGAGGTTAGCCCCAAACTTGGAATCCATCCCTCTGCCTCAGCCTCCAAAATCACTGGGATTACAGGTATATGCCATGGTATAATTTCTATTGTAACCCCACCCCCAACCCTACATACTGGCTGGGATTGAACCCAGAAACTCATTCATATGCTAGGAAGAGCTCTACCACAAGCTACTTCCCTGGCCCTTTGTTGTTTAACTCTACCAGAAACTTCCATTGTGAACTATTATCACAGACCACAGGTAACATATGCACATTTTAAGTAATTATAAAGACCAAGATGAACACCTATATCCAATATTCACTTTATGAAATGGAAATCAATGACTTTGAAGTCCTATGTACTCATTTCTAATTGCCACCACCACAAACCTTCACTTACTTGTAATCCTCTCACTCTTCATTGTTTTATCATGTGTTATCCTAAACAAGATGCTTAACTTTGTCTAGTTTTGAGCTTTATACAAATGGAAAAATACTTCTTGAATTCCTCAGCAAACTGTTTTCTTTTTCAGTGCCAGGGATTGAACCCAGGGCTTGCAAATGTGAGGTAAGTGCTTTAACACTGAGCTATATCTCCAGCCCTACAAGTTTAAAATGAATTTACTGAGGTTGAATTTGTATAAAAAATAAAGAAAATTCACTTAAGTATATAGACAAATGAATTTGGATAACTTATTGGTGGTGATATGGGGAATTGAACCCAGAGGTGGTTTACCACTAGGCTCTATTTTTAAGTATTTTATTTTGAGACAGGGTCTTGCTAAATTGCCCATGTTGGCTGGTGATGCTCTTATCTCCTACTGAGTCACTGGGATTATAGGCATGCCCCACCAGCCTGGCTTGGATGGATGAATTTTTAACAATATACCCATTTACTGGCATCTCAATTAACATTTCCTTATCCCAAAATGTTCTCTAAAGTCACCCTCTCTTCCTTAGTCGGCTGCAGGCAACATGATGTGTTCTTTATGTTCATTCTAGAATTTCGTATAAATGGAATCATATGATACATATTCTCTTGTGAATGGCTATTTTTTTTTTTAAATCTTGTAGTTGTAGATGGACAGAATGCCTTTATTTTTTTTTAATGTGGTGCTGAGGATCAAACCCAGTGCCTCAGCATGCTAGGCAAGCACTCTACCACTGAGCCCCAGCCCATGTATGTTTTTGACCTGGCAGATTTTTTTGTGTGCATAGTACTGGGAATTGAACCCAAGGGTGCTCTACCACTGAATGACACCCCCAGTCCTTTTTTGAGACAGTCTTGTGCCAAGTTGCCTAGGCTGACTGTAAACTTGTGATCTTCCTACCTTAGCCTCTCAAGTACCTGGGATTTTAGGTATACATCACTGTGCCAGACTCTTGGCATGGTTTTTAGATTCACTATGTTTGCAACTTTTTTTTTTCTTTAAAGGAGACTTTATTATTTCAACTTTTTTTTCATTAAAAATATTTTGAAGATTCTTTGTGTTCAAATATTTTAGTTTATTTTTAATTTTTAAATCATTCTAGAATATGAACTGGTATCACTAACTTTAACCTGGATTTCTGCTACCATGAACATTTTCATACATGACTTCTAGTACTATGAGCAAAAATTAATTTCCTTATGATATGGAACTGCTGGGCCATAGATTAGCTAGGTACATGTTCAATCTTAGTTGATAATGCCCAATTATTTTCTAAAGTGGTTTTAATAATTTATACTTCTACCAGCAATGGATGAGAATTTAGATAAATTTTGTAAAGTAATACTGGGGGTAGAATCCCCCAATACTGGGGGTAGAACCCAGAGGTGCTTTACCACAGAGCTATAACTCCCCAATTCCTCCCCACTTTTTTATGTGGTGTTGAGGATTGAACCCAGTGCCTCATGCATGCTAGGTGAGCACTGAGCCACAAACCCAGCCCCTATTCTGTTTTTTATTAAGAGACAAGGTCTTGGGCTGGAGATGTGGCTCAAGTGGTAGCGCGCTCGCCTGGCGTGTGTGCGCCCTGGGTTCGATCCTCAGCACCACATACAAAGATGTTGTGTCTGCCAAAAACCATAAAATAAATATTAAAAAAAAATTTCTCTCTCACTCTCTTTAAAAAAAAAAAGAGACAAGGTCTCACTAAGTTGCTTAGGACCTTGCTAAGTTGCTGAGGCTAGCTTCGAACTCGAAATCCTCCTGTCTCAGCCTCCAGAGCTGCTGGGATTATAGGTGTGTGCCACTGTGCCCAGCCCCACCTTTTTTGGAGGCAGGATCTTGCAAAACTGCCCAAGTTGGCCTCAAACTTGCAATCCTCCTACTGCAGCCTCCATAGTTGCTGGAATTACAGGAATGTGCCACTGTGGCCAAATAAGCAATCTTGATTTCACATAGTCTCAGGGCTCCTAAACAGCCAAAGTTTTGATTGGCTAATGATATGTTAGATACCAACCCATGAAAGACAAGTGGAAATTACACTGTTCAAAGTTTCAGGCAAGGACAGCTTTCTTGAGTCTTTCCAGGTAATATGTCAGAAAGAAACAAGGCTTGGCGCTGTGGTGCACACCTATAATTCCAGTGGCTTGGGAGGCTGAGGTAGGAGGATAGCAAGTTCAAAGCCAGCCTCAGCAACTTAGTGCGGCCCTAAGTAACTTAGAGACTCTGTCTCAAAATTAAAAAAAAAGGGGGGGGGATGATGAGAATATGGCTCAGTGGTCAAGTGTCCCTTGGTTCAATACCCAGTAACAAAAAGAGAGGAACAAGTACAAGAGGATTAATAATACTGGTTAATCAAAGAACTGCTCTAGGAGTTGAGAGAATTGTGTACTAGCTTTGGCTCTCCCACTGACTTATTGTTCACTCAATAATGAATTACTGAGTACTTACTATGTATTGGCCTTGGTTTAACGTTGGTGGAAAAAAAAAAAAGGCCTGGTGCCTGCACTTTTTTTTTTGCAGGGCCACAAACTGAAGGCAGGGGCTTGCATATACTAGAACCACTGAGCTACACTCCAAACCCAAGTGCTTGCCCTCTTGAAGCTTAAGATCTCAGAAGAAAAAGAAAAAAATTCTTATTTGGTATCAGGGATTGAATCCAGGGACTGAACAAATGAGCCACATCTCCAGACCTTTTTATTTTGAGATAGGGTCTTACTAAGTCGCTTAGGGCCTCGATAAATTGGTGAGGCTGGTTTTGAACTCAGAATCCTCTCGTCTCAGCCTCTCACATTACTGGAATTACATGTGTGTGGCACCATGGGCCAGTTGAGAGGAATGTTTTGGATAAAAAGACTAAAAGAGGGGCTGGGGATGTGGCTCAAGCGGTAGCGCGCTCACCTAGCATGCGAGCGGCCCGGGTTCGATCCTCAGCAGCACCACATACCAACAAAGATGTTGTGTCCGCCAAGAACTAAGAAAAAATAAATAAATGTTAAAATTCTCTCTCTCTCTCTGTCCCCCTCTCTCTCACTCTCTCTTTAAAAAAAAAAAAAAAAAAAAAAAAAAGACTAAAAGAAAAATTGTGGCAAACGCTATGAAGAAAGTATCAGGGTAATAATGGAAAATTGAGACCTATTTTATTTCGGTTTTAAAATATTTTTTATAGTTTTAGATGGACAGAATGCATTTATTTTATTTGTTTATTTTTATGTGGTGCTGAGGATGGAATCCAGTTGCTTCAAGCATGCTAGGCAAGCACTCTGCCACTGAACTACAGCCCAGCTCAAAGAGACCTATTTTAAAATCCACAGTAAGCATTCTTCTTTCATGGAAGTAACATTTAAGCTAAGATCTAAAGAATGAATGATCTAGTCAAGTGAAGACCATTCCAGGTCACAGTAACAGTATGTGCAAAGGTGTGCGATCAACTGGTAGAACTAGATTTCTGAGACTGGGAGAGGCGCCAAACAAAAGGAAGTTAGTAAGGGCAGTAGGTACATTTAAGTGAAAGATTAAAGAAGCAGATAGGGTTGGCAGTGGGGTATCAAGAGTTATGATTTAGATATGCTGGGTTTGAGATATCTATTAGAAATCAAAGTGGATGCTGGGTGTGTGGTGCATGCCTGTAATCCCAGTGGCTGGGGAGGCTGAGGCAGGATGGCAAGTTCAAAGCCAGCTTCAGAAATTTAGTAAGGCCCTAAGCAATTCAGTGAGATACCATTTCAAAACAAAAAATAAAAAGAGGTGGGAGTGTGGCTCAGTGGTAAGTGCCCCTGGGTTCAATCCCTGGTACCCCAAAACAAATAATGGTGAAATGTGAAGTAGGCAGTTAAGACACATAGTATGGGATGCTGGAAAGAGGCACAATTTTATCTGTGTATACTTAAAGCCATGGAAAGGAAGGCATTACCCAAGAAGAAAGCATAAACAAAGGTAATAAATCACTAGGTTATTCACTTTCTGTATGTTATCCCCTAAGTTGTTTCTTTTCCTTAGGCTTATCTGTAACACAAATGGTGGAACAAGATACTTAATGGGGCTCTTAAATAAGCCTGAAGTTCTGCAAAGACAACCTTTCATTGTTCTACTGCTAATTGTAACCATTCTCAAATCCATCCTAAAACAAAGCAAACAAAAAACATTGATTAAGATGAATGGGGAAACATTTTACAGCAGTCAGCAAAAACTTAAGTTCTTGGTAAAGTTACATACTGTACCACAGCAGTGGGCAGGTAAGCCAAATTCCAAGACTGTTACTGCTCAATTCACTAAGGTTAACTATAAAGGTAAATAGAGAAAGAAACGTGAATTTAAGTAATCTCTAAAAGGCACAGAAAATCTCGTTCTTGTTCCTATAACGCAACTGAAGAATGCTGGTATTGTGCCCTAAGGACCTACCTTGGGGGCATTGTGTCCCACAGGGACATGGGGTCCCCTTCTAGATTTCATTGCAAAGCGCATGATTTGCCTCTTCACAAAAATAAACAGTAGTACAAATACCTGTCCAAAAAGATACGATAAGAATCTTTAATAAAGACAACAACAACAAAAGGCATGCCTTCATTCAAAGTCTCCAGATTGCGGCTCTCAGAAATGGAGGCTTCAAGATAAAACTTGGGGGAAAGCGAGGACGTCGACGACGGAGGTGGATCTAGGGAAGCCAATAGTGGGGAGGCTTGGGGTCTGTGCCCTAGAGCTTAGGGGGAGGGTTCTCAGCCAGGGGCGGGTCGGTCTGGGTCTGTGACTTAAGCTCCCAGGTACTCCTGGGATCGAAGTCAAAAGCCCAGAAAAGGCGCAGGTGAGTGGGTGGAGAATGAAGACAGGGATCGGCTCAAGAGGAGGGTCTCCACTGGGTGAGACGCGACAGCAGGAATGGGGTGGGGGAAGATCCTCACCAGGCTCCCGTAGGCCATCACCAGCACGACATTCACCCCGGACAGCCAGTTACTGCTGGACGCCATGGCCTCCCTCCCCGCGCAGAAGTGCTCGGGTTTTCCCGCTGCCCTGCCTCGTTAGCCCAGGCTCCGCCGAAGCAACGGCGCCTGGGTTCCCTGGAGCTCCCCGGCCATTTCCTTACGGGGGAAGACCGAGCCAGACCCGGCCTGAAAACATGGCGGATGGGGGGGCTAGGAAAGGAGGACGACGCCTTCCCGCTTCCCCCCCGACACGTGACTCAGGCAGGCAGTGGCACCTGGGAGCTGCGAGTGCGGAGACGCGGAACTACGCCAGTAAGAGGAAGCGGAGGCCATCCGTGCGTCACGTGGTAGAGGCGGGGCCGCCGCGCAGGGGGCGGGTCGGACGCTCGGAGCCCGAGTTCGGTGTTTCGTGGCGTGGTGGCACGCGCACGCTGGCGTGCGCGTCCCTTTTCACGTCACGTGCTGGGGGGACGCAGGAAGGCAAGTGGGAGGGGGAAGGCGCGAGAGCGAGCGCGAGAGGGAAAAGGAGGGAGGGGGGTGGGGAGGAGGGAATCTTATATCACGTGACAGGGGCGGCGCGGCCCGGGGTGTCAGTGTGGAGGAGACTGAGGTAAAGTTGGGAGCGCAGCGGCGTTGGCGGCGGCGGCGGCGGCAGCGGCAGCGCGGCGGGGCCGGGTATTGTCCGCGGCCCCTTTAAATCCGCGATCCCCCTTTTACCCTCCCTCTTTCTCTCCTACCCCCGCCGTATCCCCCCTCCGGTAGGCCCCCCCGCGCCGTGCGCTCCCCCTCTGTACACCCCCTTCTGGTCTCGGGAGCCCTGGCGCCCCCCCACACCTCGAGTCGGGCGCCGGAGGTTTTGTTTATGGTTGGGTTCGCGGCCTAGTGGGCCGCGCCGGATCCGGGGCCTCGATTTGGGAGCGTGGCCGGGGCGGGGCTTGGGGCAGCCGGACGGGGGGGCCATGCGGCTAGAGCCTGAAGGGGGAGAACGAGAAAGAGCGCGAGCGAACTAGGCCTGGGCCCAGCCTGAGGTAGGGCTGTCTCCAGGGCCGGTGCCTGTGGAGAAGGAGAGGGCCGCCTCCCTTTCCAGCCCTCTGCGGGCCTCTGATCCGGATCCGGCCTGGTTGGGGGTGGCGGGGGGAGGGCGATGGGGTGGAGCTGCCCCAACTCCCCCATGTGGCCCTCAGTTTGGAGTGCGGAGGATTAATTTGTTCCGGGTGGGAGGTAGGGAGGCGATTGGCCCCGTGGGCTCCTGATGTGGCGCTGAGGGGGGTGAGCCTCCCATCCTCCGCGCGTGGGCTCGCGTCCCCTCTCCGTTTCCAGCCTCTTTGTCAGCTCCACTTATTACTCTTCCTTCTTTCTTACCGACCCGGCCGTGGGAATATATTTTTGCAGCTGTCTTTAGCTTCCTGTTGTCTATACTGTGGTTTTGGGTACCCCAAACAATTATGTTATTTGGGAAGCCGGACCTGTAGGCCCCCATAGGGTGTATTACGCCTAAGGGACGTCACTGGGTCGCTGGGGTATTTGTTCCCTCTTCATAATGGCACAGGAATTCCAGACTTCTTCAGACCCTTCACCTTGTGGACAGCCCCTAAATTGCTTTGCAAACTGATGTCACAAACAGGAGACTGCTCCTTTTTCAGGATTCTTGAAATGTAGCCACCTCTGTTGTAAGATGTTGTGGAAAGGAAAACACCACAGTAACGGTGTTTTTGTTGTTATTAACGTTTTTGCCTTTGACTCATCGTGATTAGTAAATGGAGAGATCCCCCCCCCCATCCAT